AAAAAAAAAAAAAAAAAAAAAAGCCAGTCAGTCAGCTTGCCCGCATGTCTGTCTCTGTCTGCGTCGTCTCTCTGTCTGTCTATCTGTCTGTTGGTCTGTTTATCAGCCGGTCAGTATGTAGGCCTGTCAGTTTGTTGGCTTTTCGGTCAGTCAGTCAGTCATACATGTGTCTTAAAGTGGGTTAAAAGGGATTTTGACTTCCAAGGGGTATATTACTATATTTCGGTTTGATGTTTTGTTTGCATTTTCTATTTCCGAATTTATAAGGAATTCTGAAGTGACCCTCAGCCAAAAGAGAACGGATGATGGGTCGAATGAATGGAGTTTTCGGGGTTGTCGCGTGAGGATTGATGCAGAAGAAGTCTCGTGCTGGTATCGGGCAAAAAACTTCGCTGAAATCTGGGACAGCAGCGAGAAGTTGACGTATAGGTGCTTTCAGGACTTCACATCCTACACCTGTATTAAGCAGAAAAGAACGCTGATCAACGGGATGCTCCATAAAATAAAGGAGTGTTCCACGTCCGCCGATCTGGCGGAAGAAGGTTTGCTCTCGCTGAATCGCGAACTGAGAAAACAGAGCTTTCCTGTGATCTTTTTCGACCGTGTGTTGTGGGGTTTTGTCCGGAAGAAAGCACCAGAGTGGGCAAAGGTGGCCAGGAGGGTTACCACGGAATTAGCGGTCAACATATGACAAGGCCGGTGGTGCGTCGCTGCACAGTGATTTTTTGTCCTGTGATTTTTTGTTCTGTGATTTCTTGTTCTGTGCTTTTTGAGATTCGAATGAGTAGTTGTCAGTAGGAGGGAGGGTTTGAGCTTAGGATGTGATTGAGCCTGTAAGTAAGATTTTGAATATGGATAACAGTGAGCAGGAGTTGGGGTTCGATCCTGGACCAGAGAGGAGGAATAATAGCCGGTGAGCACGGAGGCTTGAACTGGTACCGGTTAGCCGAAAGAAAGTGGGTCGTTCTAGAAGGGTCCTTTGGAGGCGTAGTTTTTCGGTAGTGTTTTTTGCGAGGTAGCTACTAATACTAGGAATTACCTAGGAATGAAACCTCTCCAAGCGTCGAGGCACAGACGGACGTAGCGTGTGTAGGGCGTTTCGCGCTTCTCGCGCGCGCAATCTGGGAGTGTCGCGACGTATCATGTATTATCTTTTCGTCATTCCCAATGCGTCATCACCAGTCTTGATGACGTTGGTAACTTGGTTTCGTTTGCGTTCATACTTTGAACAAACTCTCTGTGTGCTTGCTCGGCGATCGCTGCTTGCTGCATGATTGCTTGGTAATCATTACATTGATATCACTTACCTCAGCCAAAAGTTGGTTACATTCCAATTGTAGAGAGCATTTTTTTTTTCACAGAATTTTCAAATTTTTCAAATTTTTAAAATTTTTAAAATTTTTATTTTTTTTTTCAATTTTTTTTTATAATAATTGGGACCTCACCAAAGTTGCTACCGATTATATTCGTATACAACACCCGGGCGTTATTTTCGGGTGAAGATGGTAGCTGCCCGTCTTTTTTGTCCGTCTGTTAGCCAGTCAGTCTGTCATCCTGTCGTCAGTCGATCAGTCAGCCAGTCGGACTGTCTGCCTCTGTTTGTCCGTATGTCAGCCTGCCTCTGTCTGTAAGTCTGTAAGTGTGTCAGTCAGCCTGTCAGTTTCTCTCTGTCTATCTTACTGTCTACCTGCCTCCCAGACTGTCTATCTTTTTTTTTTTTTT